TACCCGACATGACTAACGGCCGCGGCGCAGAGCCCGCAGAGCCCGCCGAGAACAAGGAATACGAGAGCCAAGCGGCGCGGCGGCCGGAGCTGTACTGAAGGCGGCGCGGCGGGCAGAGGCCGACTGCGGGGCCGCGGCAGCCAATCAGGGGGCGGCGGAAGGTACCACAGTGCCACGGCAGGAGGGGTGGTTCTGCCTTGGAACCAGCCTCCGAACCCTGAGGACTTCAGAGTCTCTCTCTGTTCTCCCCTCTGTGGACGGTACCATTATTGAGAGGGAATTGAGAAGAGAAAGTACCAATGCCACTGTCACGATCGGGGAGGAAGCCAAGTCTACTCCTCTGTCCTATTTAAAATCCTAATTCTCACTTTATTGGGTCTGATAGGATTCGAGGTTAGGAAGCGAAAGAGGAAGGACCTTATGAACACAGACTATTTGGTAATAAAATGCCTTTCTTCCCCTAAAATTTAAAATGGTATGCTCTGATTCGCTCTGCTTTTGCTGGAGAGAACTTGAGCCACCTGGGGGCGTGCGGAGTCGGCGAGCTCCGGGACGCGAAGTCGTGATCGGCTACTGTCCCTGGTCGCCTCCCGGTGTTGTAACTACCTTGCTCTCTCTCTCTCTCTCTCTCTCTCTCTCTCTCTCTCTCTCTCTCTCTCTCTCTCTCTCACTCACACACACACACACACACACACCCTGTTTTCAGTGCTGTAATAACAGCTAACTCTTAATTGTCAGTCACCTTACATCATTTCATTTAATTCTCACAACAGACTGATGAAATATTTTCCCCATGTTGCCGATGAGAAGACAGAATTCACTTGGCCTAGGTTGTACGGCTATTAAATGGCCAAGGTGGAATTTGAAGCCTAGTAACCCGATGCTATTGCCTGTGAGTTTAACCATAATGTTGTACAGCCTAGAGAGGCCTAGGATCTGTAGTAGGAAAGGGAGCTGGGAAAGGACACTGGAAAGCTAGCCAGGACACTTTCCAGGAGGACGTGATATCTGAGCCAAACCCTAGGTGATGAACAGAAGTTGATTGAGTGAAGAAGTGGGCAAAAGTTCTTTCCAGATTAGTTGCAGAACAAGTAATTCCATACGATTGGAATATACCCTTAAGGGGAGCATCGTAGGAGATGACGCCAAATAGGAGGAGGTTAAGTACTGGGGCCTTGTAGGTACGGTGGAGTTGGTGCTTTATCTTGAGGACAATGGGAACCACTCACCAGAGGATTTTAAAGGAGAGGAGTAACATCACATTTGTTTTTTCTGACTGCCAAATGAAGAATGCAAGGAGATGAGAGGTACTTAAAAGAAAACCAATTAGGTGGCCAATGCATTAATTCTGGTGAGAGGTCATAGTGCCCTGGACTTAAGCAGTAGCTGTGGTGATGGAGGTAAGTAAAGAGAAGCTGGAGATACTTAGAGGTAGACTGGACAAGAGTTGGTGATCAGTTTGGATGGGAGAGGCTAGCGGAGAAAGAGGAGTCTGGGGTGAATTCTGGGACTCGCTTAGACAAATGGCCAGGTGATGGTGTCGTTCACTGTGGTAGAGAACAAGATTGGGATGGAGGTGAAGAGGTGTGCCTTCAGGTCAGGAAAAAGGCATGCAGTCATCTCTTCTCATTAGTAATTTTGCCCTCAGCTCTCTATAGAGAGGGTTACCAAACCCTCTGGACTGGATCAAACAAGCAAGGCTAAAGGAATAAAAATCCTTTCATGACTAAAAACCATTAAACTGTTCAGCATATATACTGAGGAAGGTACCTCAGAGAAGGAGATGGGTGTGTGCAATAGCAGGAGAGAACTGGACTACAGGGGGAAGAAGGGGATCTTAGAAGATCCTTAAATGTGCCTAGAATGTTGTCTTTAAAAAAAAAACATAAGCCTGTCGTGGTGGCTCACGCCTGTAATCCCAGCACTTTGGGAGGCAGAGGTAAAAGGATTGCCTGAGCCCACAGTTTCGAGACCAGCCTGGGCAACTTGGCGAGCCCTTGTCTCCACAATAAATCAAAAAATTAGCCGGGTGTGGTGGCGCACACCTGTGATTCCAGCTACTTGGAAAACTGAGGTGGGAGGATTGCCTGAGCCCAGCAAGTCGAGGCTGCAGTGGCCATAAGCATGCCACTACACTCCAGCCTGGGCAACAGAGTGAGACTCTGATTTAAAAAAAAAATTTTTTTTTAATTTTTTGTAGAGACAAGTTCTCACTATGTTGCCTAGGTTGGTCTCAAACTGTTAGGCTCAAGCAATCCTCCCTCCTTGGCCTCCCAAAGTGCTAGGAGATTACAGACATGAGCCACCATACCCAGTCAAAAAAAAAAATTTTTTTTTGAGTTGGAGTCTCACTCTGTCACCCAGTCTAGAGTGCAGTGGTACGTTCATGACCACCGCAGCCTCAACCTGCTGGACTCAGGTGATCCTTTTGCCTCAGTCTTCCAAGTAGCTGGAATTACAGGCACACACCACCACGCCCGGCTAATTTTGTGATTTATTGTAGAGATGAGGTCTCGCCAAGTTACCCAGGCTAGTCTTGAACCCGTGGGCTCAGGCAATCCTCTCACCTAGGCATTCCAAAGTACTGGGATTATAGGCGTGAGCCACTGCACCCAGCCAAATATATATATA